ATCCTGATTGAGAATCATGTCACCATTTCTCAATTCCTGTTGAACCCTAGCCTTGCTTATTTCGAGTGACTCTCTGATTTTCCGAGTTCGATATTCTGGGGCTACAGATAATGTTTTGGGGTGCAACCAATCAAACTTACCATGGCATGTTTTAGAATGCTCAGTTGCACCCGAACTGGACCATTTTCTTTTTAAGCTGTTTTTTTGGTGTTCCATACATACAATTCGTTTCTTTAAAAAATTCTCAGTTGCGGTTACATGCTTTTTTTTTTACAACCTCTGAATAAACGTTACCTTAACTATGTTAAAAAGATAATTTATATATTCCAAAAAATAATATTTTGCAAACTGATCGCTTTTAACCTTTAAGAAAAAAAGCAAGTTGAGTAAAGCTTCTTAACAAGGCCAATGTGTGTTTTTTTTTGGCAAATTTAGTTTCATAACTTTATCTCTAAATACTTAAATAAAACTTGTAAAAATGTAGATATAAATAAGTATTTTTGTATAAACAATAAATTTTTTTAGCTTTTATTTAGGAAGTAAATAAATATGCTTAAAAGCTAGTACAATTTTTTTATGCTCTAACTATTAATAGAAAATGCAGAAAACAAACTTTGAAAACTTTAAAAATAAAGTTAAAATACAAACTTTGAAAAAACTTTGTAACTTAAAAATAAAGTTTTATTATTATATTTGGATTATTAGATTTTATAGTTATTTTTCTTTTTACAGAGCTTATGAATTAAAACAAACAAACTAGGTATTGAGCAATTTGTAAATCATTGGTGATAATGAGCACACCTTACACAACCGACCAACTTGCAGCACTAGCAGCCAACTGGCCAGGCCTAGGTCAAGGTAATCATTCAGCTGCTTCTCAAAAGCTTGATGCTACAAGATCAAAACTAATAGCCACAGTCAGCATATTTCTCACCTGCGTATCTGTTCTTGAAAACAAAAACCTTACTCTAAAAGCATATCACTCTCAACAACCAAAGTTAGCTCCTACGAATTTGAACACAACACTCAACTGGGCAAGCGCAGTTAAGCACGGTTCAGAAGCCAATAAAGCAATTATCACAGCAGTCAAGGAAAATATCAAAATTGTTAAAACAAAATCTAAAAGAGCTATAGCACCAGTCTTCCAAAATCCTCAGACAATAATCAGAGGCTAATTTCAGTTCAAAGTATGCTCAAAAAGCTTAACTATAATATTGCTATTAAAGTTGTTGGGCATTTCTCAAAAAAGTTTAACAATACCACTAGTTTAACTACAATAGCAGCTGAACCAAATGAATTGATTATCATTGAGTTTGACTCCAATGAGCATTGCAATGATCTCTTATCTAATGTAAAACGACTTGCCTCAATAGATGAATTAAAATCTGTCTATATTCGTCCAGACCGTACTGCTCTCGAACAAGAAACATTCAACAACTTAAACAAAAAGCGTGTTTCCGAAAATGCAGAACTTTTGGCAAAAAATTTACTTGACAAACCCTTTCGATTTGTCATCCGCAGCAAAAAAATCAAATGCATTGACACATCCAAAATAGTTAACATCAATGGAAGAGAGAGAAACCCATACCTCAAATGGAAATCAGCAGCTGAGGCCATTCAATTGCTCTCAGAATCTTACTGGTTCAACATTTTTAAACAAGGCCAGTTCTTCCATTAAATTATCTAATCTTTCATGCTTCTAAACTAATGCAACCTTCCTCAATCCAATAGAACTCATCGAACTCTCCTTACTCGCAGAAAACAACTCCTTTGACATTATTTTTATAACTGAGACATGGTTCAACAACCAATCAACTCCCTCTCTTCCAAACTACAACCTCTATCGTTCAGACTGTTTAAACCAAATAGGAGGTGTAGCTATATACGCAAACAATAAAATCATCTCAAACCAACTACAGGACTCCCTATTATACAAAAATTTTATTTGTTACTATTCAGAACAATTACGTATGGAACTAAAGCATCTGAATGAAACTCTGCTTTTAGGCTGCATTTATAGACCTCCATCTTCTGGTATCAAAGCCTTCTCAGAGATTTCAAGTGCTATTTTCCATGCCCAAACATCAGTATCGACCAAAAAATACAATGGTATGATCATTGCTGGTGGTTTCAATTTCCCAGAGATTACTTGGACTTCCAATTCAGTCTTCTCCTCTAGTAAAATTGGTCTCAGTTCTTCATTTGTCTCTCTTCTTCAAGATGTCATCTATCTACCAAATTGTCACTGTCCCTACTTTCAAACCTGCTAATCGCCCAATGACAAACACTCTTGATCTCATAATATGTGACTCTCCATATCGTGTTCAACATTGGTCCTCCACTCGGTTTGTCTGATCAATATCATTGCTCTATCACCTGGCAATTCAAACTGGCTTCCCCTAGAAAATTATTGCATTTCAACAGCTCTAATTTTATTTACAACCTAGGTAACTACGAATGAATCAAAAAAAAATTTAATAAGGTTGACTGGTCATCTATTTCTAAAGAATTAAACGTAGAACTCTGTTACCAAATTTGGCTAAACAAATACAATGAATGTTGTCTTCAAATCATCCCTCAAACTAAAAATGTACGGAATCGAAAGTAATCTTCTCAATTGGATAAAAGCTTTTCTACTTAACAGGTCACAACAAGTAATCCTTGGTGATACTAATTCGAATTGGTTACCTGTGACAAGTAGAGTTCTGCAAGAATCAGTCTTGGGTCCAATTTTATTTGTCATTTTCATCAATGATCTGCCAGATGTAATAAGCAAAGAAAATATTTGTAAGATCTATGCTGATGACACTAAAATTCTGAGCATTGTCAACTCACTTGCTGCTCAACTTCAACTCCAATCAGATACTGACCAAATTGTTCATTGGACTAAGTCTTGGCTTGGAGCATGGAGCTAAATGCAGAGAAGTCCAAGGTCATACACCTTGGCCAAAAAAAATCAACTTCTTTCAAGTACTCAATGGAGGAAATATGCCCTCGTTCAATAACGACTCGAACTACATTGGAAGCAACCACCTCTGAGCGTGACTTGGGAAATTAAATTACCAATGACCTTAAAGTAGAAACCCAATCCATCATTGCCTCATGTAAAGCAAATAAAATGAATAAATATATATATATATATATATATATATATATATATATATATATATATATATATATATATATATATATATATATATATATATATATATATATATATATATGTAGTATATATATATATATATATGTAGTATATATATATGGGCATTTCCAAAAAATCACGCACGGAAATTCGTATATGTTTTTACTTTTATTTTCATAAAAATGAAACTAGCAATCTCCAATTTACTCTCATTTAATTCTAATCAATGTAAATATTTTGTAAACAAAAATAGTAAGCATTACTAATGTTAACAAAGAATAAATAAAGTTTGAAATGGAATTACGCACGGAACAGAAAAACTTCTATTTTAGTTACTAGATAAATAAACTTTAATTCCTCGGAAAATATAAGTTTGACCGGTATACATTTTTTTTAAATAATATTTTAAACATCAGTAAAGATTTCCAGAAAGTTACAGGATTGCACTATGAATCATAGAGTCACAGCAATCATTTAAATGCAGTTTATGAATACGCACGGAAGTCACGCACGGATGTTGCGAATTTGTCAACTTCATGTAGATATTTTTATGAAAATAAATTGCTTGTGAGTATTTCAAGTGAAATACTTCTACGACTCTTATTTAATATATTTTTGATGAGAAATGGCAGTCATCAATTATTTCTAGCTAGAGTATTGCGTTTTGAAAGTTATTGTATATTTTTTAAAATTTAGCGGTATTATTACTCAAAAAAATGAAATTGTAAAAATGTGTATATTTAATTTATTCAGATAGTCTAAAATATGATAAAAATATTTTTGTTATAATTGTTCTTTAAGAAAATCAAAATAGTATGCATATTGCATAAAGTCCCAGCTTTTAATTGCTAAAACAAAGAAAAATAAAAAATCACGCACAGAAATGGAAATGCCCATATATATATACTACATATATATATATTATATATATATATAATTAATATATAAATATATATATATATATATATATATATATATATATATATATATATATATATATATATATATATATATATATATGTATTATATATATATATATATATATATATATATATATATATATATATATATATATATATATATATATATATATATATATATATATATATATATATATATATATAATAATACCTATTACACAAACTAGAACGCCAATAGAAATCAAATTTGATTTTTACTGGCGTAAATATTTTATTTTTATAATTTTTATTATTAAATTATATATAATTATTATATATAATTTTTTCAACTTTTAGTCCTTCATTTTAGTAAAGTTTATTTTTATTTGATTTATCATCAAAACAAATGACTTGACTGTGTTTAGATTACAGGCCTCCAATGTGGTATCTCTCGCATTAACCACTCAGCCAAACTTACGAGTCAGAGTGTAAATTAACTTTATTAAAATAAATATTTAGAGTGTAAATTAACTTTATTAAAATAAAATAATAGTATTTTAAAATAAAGTTTTAGTTTTCAATTAAAACTTTTTTTTGCTATTAAAAAAAAGGGGAAAAGAGAAGATTTTATCTAGAAAATCAACTAAAATGCAAATCAACTAAAATGCACTTATCTTCTGCTAAAAATATAAATAGAAAAAATAAGTAAAAAACTGAACTTAATGTTTAAATAAATTATGTTTAAATTACTCATTTTAAGTTTAAAAGATTTTTGAAATGAATTGATTTTTATACTGTTTTTATTTTTGTACTGATAAATATGCTAAATAAAAGTTAGTTCTCTAAGAACTCTATTAAATACCAAGAGAAGTAAATCTAAAAAAAAAATTATAATTACTAAAACTTCCATTTATTCAAGAAATAAAAAAAAAGTAAATATTGCAAATTGAAAAACTTACTGAAGTAAATGTTGATATACTAGTATCAATATCAAACTGATTTGACCAACCTACAAACAATTATTTTTTAGGCTTTACAAAAATTAAATTTTTATGAGGCTCCTCATCAACCATTTCAGATTTTGCTGAAACTTTTTAATTTTGTATATATATATGTGAAAAAAGTATGGTTTAAAAATTTCAAATCAATATCTATTATGCTTCTTGTAAAAATGTTATTTAAATTGTGACTATTTTGCAAAAAATTTCACTTTTCAAGCAAAAAGGGTTTTTTTTCTCATCGTTTTTAACAACTAATAATTTTTGAACAAGTTAGTTTTATCCTCCAATTATTTTAAAATAGCAAGTTTGCTATGGATACATTTAGAAAAATAAAACATTTAAAAATCTATGATATTAACTTTTTCCAATAATGGCAGGCTAAAGTTAATGCTTTTGTTTTGGAATTTTAATTTTTCTGGATTCTAAAAAACTAGAATACAAATCAAATTACCTGTTGATCTACATTTGGTGGATAAACATTTACAAAAAAGTTGATTTTCAAAAGTTGATCTACATTTAGTGGATAAACATTTACATAAAAATTGATCTACAAAAAAGTTGAGAGCTGCACCCAAAAGTTATGGGTCATCAAAGTGAGCCGGATTAGAATAATTTTAATATTGATCCTCGATCAAAATCATTTCTTACTTAAGATACTAATTTTTTTCTTTAGATTTCTTATACATATTAATGAAGAGAATTTCTTAACAAAATACTGAAACTATTAATGATTATTTATAATTCTAAAAGATGATCTCAAAAAGTTTGTCAAAAAGTTAGGAAATTTTTCATAAAAACAAATTATATGTTCTAAGAATACTTCATAAGTAACATTAAACATCGTAAATGCAGATCACATATGTTTCTGGTGAAATAACTTGAAATTTCATCAATATGAACTAAACAGGCAGTAACACCAACATTAGTGCAAGCACCATCAAACGAAACTTTTCTCATTTTTAATGAGATAAGCAATGTTGGATAAAATTGTGGTGATTTCATTTAACAGTTGACGTTAGAAGATAAATGATATCTCTCTTCCAAATTAAAATTTGTAATGTATTTCATTAGAAACTTTGTAAAAAACATAAAATTTTAAATGTTGAACGCGCCAGTTGCACATTTTGCTTAAGGTGTTAATAGGGTTGTTAGGTAACTGAAGACTGGCTAGTGCAACAAGACGTTTTACAGTTCCATTAACTCCATCACAAAAACTTTTACTTTGCAATGTTGCACAATAAGAACCACTCTGCAAGTATTGTCAAAATTTTGCCTATGATACTACAAATTGATTTATGTAATTTTTATATTGTGATACCGCTATGTCACTAAAATAGATAATGTGTTTAAATGTATGTAACTGTTTAAGTTTACTAAAAACATTATTGATAAGATTATCAAAAGATTATCAAAAGCATTGAAAACTCATAGGAGCTCTCCTCCTAAGAGTTTTCATATTTTATGGGGGGGGGAGGTTTTCAAATAGCATACTAAAGTATAGAGAGGGAGGGGGAGGGGGCAGAGAGGTTTCAATATAAAAGGAAATATCCACTAATTAAAGTAAAAATCCTTAATAATGTTTGTTTTTCTAATTCATTACAATTAAGTACTTGTTAATAACTAGTTTTTAAATAAATAACAACTTTAAAAAAAGATAAAAATACACCTCTGGTCCTGAGTAAGGCGGATGTGTATTTCAGGCAATCCCTTTTTTGAGTCCGCAAATAACGGGTTTTAGGCTTTATTTACAATATTACTCAACCCCAATCTTTTTGGTCTAAAAGAATTATTTACTTTGATAAAGCTGTCAAATGGGATCTACCAGAAAGCTAAAAATTCTCTCTTTGAACCAATATGCATTTTAATGGATATTTTTAACAAATCCCTTTTTCAGTTGCCAAAGGAGAACAGTCTTTCAGTAAACTTGGTCTAGGAAAGATGGCAACCACTAATGGTGGCACTAAGATCTATAATGACTCAAAACCAGCTTACCAATCTCCTAGTTATATTTATTGAGCATGATCTTGAAAAAACTCTGGGCTACAACAAAATTATTGCAAACTTCACTTAAAAAATGAAAAATCAAATTTTATGAAGCATGCTGAACTTTTATGAACCAAATAAAATAACTAACTTTAAACTTGCAGTTACTCAAAATATAATAAAGTTTAGTTACTTGCCTGATTGTCCATTTTTTTAAATTTAATTTTTTTATTTTATTTAAAAAAGTAGCAGCCTCTTCTTTTAATCTGATTCTATCAACATTTAATTTAAGAATGCGGTAGTGGTGTAGTGGTAGAGCGCTCGCTTCATAAACGAGTGGTTCCGAGTTCGATTCCCACCACGTCTTTGGTAGTACCGCGCTCAACTCGTTTCTTCGCGCAGCGGCCTTGTTCGTCAAGGTTCGTGTTTCGGAGTTATAGAGTTGAGAGAGGGTTATAGCCACAAATAAGTAGCCTCCTCGTCTGTAGTGGCCGTCTCGGCCTTGAGGAGGTGAATTAAAATAAAATAAAAAAATTTAAAAAAATTAATTTAAAAATTTTATTCAAATTTTTAAATTATTCAAATTTAAAAATTTGAATAAAAAAATTCACAAAAATATCTAAATAGAATACAGAATCTATTTTGTATTTGCTATGGCGTTTGATAATGGATTTATAAGGTTGATATGGAGATAACGAAGTAAACCATTATAAATTATTAAGATAAAAAAACTTTTCAAGAATATCAAAAAGTAGTTAGCCTCATTTAATGTAAACAAAGTACAAAATCTTCATTTATGAAGATTTAAACAAATTTGTGTCCAGAAAGAAATAATTTCAGATGTTTCTTTTCGTTTTTTTATAAAGAAAAAAAAAAGTTCAAGAGAACAAAAGTAGAAAAAAAAAAAGAAAATTTTGTGTATTTAGCAATTATCGCTTATGACAACTTTGATCACTATGATTTATGATATTGGATTATCAATTTCATTTTTGTGCTTATCTTTTTGCTTGTTTTGTTTTTATTTTGCAAGAATTTATTTAATGCATGTAATATATTTATAAATTTAAAAAAAAAATAGAATTACATTTAAGTTTGGTTTGAATATTAATAATTTGTATATATAATTACTTTGTTCTAGATATTTATCGATAACTTTCTTTTAAATTCTCACTCAACAGCTGTATATTTTACATGTTGCTTTTTAAATCAAATCTATATTTTTTTAATTTTTTCTATATCTATATACAGATATCTATAGATGTATTTTCTATACCTAATTAACCAGACAGTATTATTGGTTAGCTGTAAGCAAGGATTTCATTCCGAAAAAAAAAAAATTTAATAAGAATATTCTTGTTTATTTTAAATTTTATTCAAAACTCGTAAATTTATTTTTTGATACCTGTTAGTATGTTTTCATATACAATCGTAACTGCTGTATCACGGTCACATCGACTTTGTTCATGTACAAAACCCATAGCATGAAGCATTTCGTGCAATACAATACCTAAAAAGATTTATTTACGATTTTTAATAGTAAAGTTAACATGAGGCAATGTTATGAAAAATTTATGCTAAAAATGGCATGAAGCAACAATGTTATGATAGGTCATTAACATTAAATTATTGACATTACATCGGTCGTTAATATTAGATTACTAACATTACATCATTGACTTAACATTACATCGATAACAGTATGTAATATTAAGTCAAATTTATATTAAACATGCAGGCCCTAGTGGCTATGCATGGAATCCAGCATGAGCCTTAAACCCGTGAAAATGTCTATGCATGGAATCTAGTATGGGCCTTAAGCCCATATTAGAAGGGCTTAATGGAAAAAAAATTTTACTATAAGCTGAAAATGATCAACAAATAAATTTTAATTAATTTTATTTATGGTTACAAAAATTTAATTCTTTTCTGTCTGATTTAAAGTATTAAACTTTAAGCATATTTTGTATATTACATAATAAAACATGTATATTGCATAACATAACATGTATATTGCATAATAAAACATGTATATTGCATAATAAAACATCTCAAAATATAGCAGCTATTCACAAAAAGTTTTACTACATCACATAAATCGCTATTAATTATTTCAATAAATAAAAGAAATTGCAGGAATGATTAAATTAATTGTGGAGATCAGATTGAAACTTGCAATTTAATTTAAAAAATTTTGAATTGTGCAAAAGATAAATTGTTGCTTTGAAATGTGTAAATTTTCACATTTCAAAGCAACAATTTATCTTTAGCACAATTTTTTTTTAAAACGTGAAAAGATAGATAGTTTCTTTAAAACGTAAAAAGTTATAAAAGTTTTACTATTAAATTTAACTTTAAAGAAAAAAAAATTATTTTTATTTTTAATTAATTTTATGCAATTAAAATTATGCTATTTTAATAGTTCAAATTTATATTTTCCCTCAGGAATGTGAAGTCTGATTAATTTTTAGGGACTCTAGAGTTAAAAATCCCCTTTTTTTTTTAAAGTTCAAGTTTTTGGAAATAGACTTTATTGTTTTTGTTTTCATGTCCATTATAGTGCAATGTGTAATATTTATATTTATATTTAAATATTTTGAACGATGTTATTAAAAAAATATTATTTCCAGCAAAAATCAAACAAAAATGTATAGACATTGATGCTATTCAAGTAGAATTGAATATGTTTATTGGGATTTGTAGAAATAAAAATTCAATTAAATTTGAAAACACTATGAAAACATCTGAAGAAAGGAAAAATGTTTTACCATGGGCTAATCGAATTTGTAGATTAGCATTAACTGCACTTATAAGTGTAGCAATAAATGAAAGAATCAAAACAGAAAGAACCAAAACAGAAAGAATCAAAACTTATTTAAGTATCAAAAATTATTTAAGATCTGTTGTAAATGATAGAAGATTGGATTTCCTATTTTATAAAAAAATTATGTAAAAAATAAGAAAAAAAATTATAAAAGTTGGCATTTTTTCTAGCTATAAAAAATTGATTTTAAAACCCCAGGTTTTAACATTTATTTGACTATGTTACCAGCAATATATTTTGTTACTTGAACAAACACGTAACTTTAACAAACACATCTAGCATTATATAACTATAACATAATAAATTGATGATGGTGCTGGTATGCAAGCTGATGATGCTGGTATCCATAACCCAGTAAAAATGTCTTAATAAAATTATTAGTATTGAGAGAAACTGATAAAATTTTTATTATCGATTTCTTGATGTTTTAAAATAATATATAATAAACTCTCATGCAAGATGTCATCTTTCAAGAAAATTTTTTATCTTCAAGCAGCCCTGAGCATATATCATTCTGATTTCAAACATGCAACCCATTTTTCACCATCATATTAAGTTGTAAAGGTATTTTAAATCTTTAGCATTTAAGGTATAATCGGTAATATTTTCATTAAAAAATCATTTAAAATATGTAAACTAAGGTCTTAAAATAATTTTCAAAGAGATTTTAAAAAACAAAAAATTTACTTAAAACTTATTGACATAAATTTTGTGAAAAAACTAAAGACTCTTGAAACAATTTTAAAAAATGTTTCTTTTGAAACAACTTAACAAAATGTTTCTCTTGAAACAACTTAACAAAATGTTTCTCTTGAAACAACTTAACAAAATGTTTCTCTTGAAACAACTTAACAAAATGTTTCTCTTGAAACAACTTAACAAAATGTTTCTCTTGAAACAACTTAACAAAATGTTTCTCTTGAAACAACTTAACAAAATATTTCTCTTGAAACAACTTAACAAAATGTTTCTCTTGAAACAACTTAACAAAATGTTTCTCTTGAAACAACTTAACAAAATGTTTCTCTTGAAACAACTTAACAAAATGTTTCTCTTGAAACAACTTAACAAAATTTTTCTCTTGAAACAACTTAACAAAATTTTTCTCTTGAAACAACTTAACAAAATGTTTCTCTTGAAACAACTTAACAAAATGTTTCTCTTGAAACAACTTAACAAAATGTTTCTCTTGAAACAACTTAACAAAATGTTTCTGTTGAAACAATTTAACAAAATGTTTCTCTTGAAACAATTTAACAAAATGTTTCTCTTGAAACAACTTAACAAAATGTATCTGTTGAAACAATTTAAAAAACTAAAGACTCTTGAAACAACTTAACAAAATGTTTCTGTTGAAACAATTTAACAAAATGTTTCTCAGCAATAATCAGGGTTGGCATTAAAAAACCCGCCCAAAAAAACCCGCCCAATAAAACCCAAAAAACCCCGCCTAAAAAAACCCAATAAAACCCTGGAAAATCTGGGTTTTATTGGGTTTTTTTAAAGATATTTAATAAGTTTATAAACTGTTATAACCAACTTTAACATTATAACTATAATATTATTAACTAAAATAATTATTAACTATTATTATTAACTAAATTATTATTAACTATTATTATTAACTATTATAACCAACAATAACAGCTATCAGAGCAGGTTTACTATTATTTAAATCATTATTTGGAAATACATTATTACAATTTTTATTCAAATATTTTTATCCATTGAGATTTTTATTACTTTATGTTATTCACCTCCCAAGTTGAATTTAAATGAGCAGTAGTGACCAGAGAAGCCAACACAACAGTCGAGGAGGCTACCTTGTTGTGGTTACAATTCTCTCTCAACTCTTATGCAGTAGTGGTGTTGTGGTAGAGTGCTCACTTCATAAGTGAGAGGTTCCGAGTTCGATCCCCACCACGTCCCTGGCAGTACCGCGCTTAACTCCTTTCTCCACGCAGCGGCCTTGTTCGTCAAGGTTTGTGTTTCGGAGTTATAGAGTTGAGAAAGGGTTGAAGTGGCCTTAAGCCTTGAGGAGGTGAATTAATAAAAAAAAAAAAAAAACTCTTTAATTCCTAAACACGAATCTTTATAAACAAGGCCGCTGTGCAGAGGAACAAGTTTGTTCATTTGAATTTCAAGTTCAAAGTTTAATTGAAGCTTCAGTTACTACCTCCCATTCTCTAGCCTTCTTTTTCCCATTTTCTCATTGACATTTTTAATTATATAAAATAATACTTTTAAATTTAAAATAAATAAATACATATAGATTAAGCGTGAAAATTTTTTTTTCTATTACATTTTAAATTATATTTAAAAATCTTTTTCAAAATAATTTTAAAAATTCTTGTTATAAATAATTAAACAACAATATATAAAATATATTTTAAATAAAGTTAAAATAGAAAATGAAACTAATTTTCAATATCATTAAACAAAAACACAAAAAAATTTTTTACAGGGACAAAATAAAAATTAAACCCAAAAAAACCCAATAAAACCCAATAAAACCCAAAAAAACCCACTGGGCTGGGTTTTTTTAAAAAAACCCGGGTTTTTGCCAACCCTGGCAATAATAAAAGCATTAATCTTTAATACAAAAATCGCAGAATCGCAGATCGCAGAAAATCTCACAAATTTTAATTTCCATTCTAAATTATGCAACCACAAATTCTATTTGTATCAAAAAATGTTTTTATCATTATAAATAAATAAAATTTATGGAACAGTTTATTGATTAATATTATGTAACATTTACATAATAAATTATTTATGCAAACACATAAGCAACATAAATAACAGACTGCATTTTTAAAACCAGCTAAATTATGCCCAACAAAACAAAAATCGCACAATAAGAGCAACATAAATAACAGTCTGCAACAAAACAAAACAGACCAACAAAAAAAAATCACAAAAAATTTTTTCCTCTTTACATTAATGCTGTATAAAAAAATTTAGAATTTTTTTTTGTTGTTATTTTGGTTTTTTTTAATCTTTTTAACAATATACTTTTTAAAATTTTCATTATATATTTAATAATATTTTCTTTACATATATATTTAATAATATACTTTTTTTAATTCTAACATTTACACTAAATTTTGCTGTAAAGCTAAACAAAGCCTTTTTATTTTAAAATTTTTTTTTTAAAAATATTCAAATATAAAATAGTTAAAAAACGTGCAAACACATTTAAATATCAAAAATTCAAATGCTCAAACTAGATGGTATTATCTGCATGTATGTGTGGATATATAACTATATATTAAATTTGCTTTTTATTACTTAAACCTTAACATAAAAATATAATCATTTAAATACCTGTATATTGACATCCATCACCAATGTTTAATTGTTGGCTTCCTCCAACTCTACCAACATAGCTCCAACATCTATGAAAAAAATAATAACTTAAAAAATGCATTAAACCTAGAATTTGAAGATATTACATAGATTTTCACAATTAAAAAAACAATCAAATAAAAGAACACAAGACAACATAAGAGCATGAGACCTTGGAACAATTTTTTATTAAAGTTCAATTTCACTGCATTTTTTTACAAAAAATGCAGTGAAATTGAACATATATAAAACAATAGGTATTTTTTGGAGATTTTGAGTAAAATCAACTGTCTTAAAATTTTTTTCAAATCACAAAAAAATTTTAAGACAGAGTAAAAAAATTTGAATTGTTATCCTGTTTTAATTTAAAGTAAATATGCAGTTTAATAATTGTTGCTCAATAAACTTGCTTAATGTAAATAAGGCTGTGACTAATCAGTGGACTACAGTGTAGTCAGATTATTTCCAATGTATCAAGTTTTTTTTTTTTTTTGCACCCTACAGATAAAAAAAATGCCCAACGCTAGAATATTTAAAAAGAAACATTTATTTTGTTTCAAATCATGTCTTTTCCTATTTCTTATCATCATAAATGTCAGTCTAAACACGCTTTGGGTGAATTTAATAATAATAATAATAATAATAATAATAATAATAATATAGTAATATATAACAATAATAATAATAATAATAATAATATAAATTTGCTGTAACAAAAATATATACATTGTTGCACAGCTAACTGAGATGTTATAATAGCCATTAATGCTATAAATTGTCATAGTTAGCTTTAAAAAAATTTAAGGATCTTGAATAAACAACATAGAAAGGCAAAGAATTCCAGTTTTTAATTATTCTGTTGTTAAAGAAGTTATTTATTGAGGAAAACTTGAATTTCTCACATTCGATTCTCTTACTATGTCCACGTATGTTTGATGAAGGACCGTCACTTGTTAGAACGGAAACCAATTTGAGATTTATGAACCAATTCACAATTTGTAAACCATTTGTTATTATATAGTGGTATATTAAATATTCCCTAGTTCTTCGATTTTCTTAAGTTGTTAAATTTAATTTCCTAAGGTTTTCTTCGTATAAGGTTTATAAGATTTTCTTCGTTTTTGAGATCTTTAATAAGTTTTGTGGCTCTCCTTTTTCAAGTTCTATTTTGTCATTGTTTAGAGTTGGGTTCCAAACAAGTACTGCAAATTTAAGATGAGGTCGATATACAATGATTTTACTATATCGGAATTTAAATAAGTAAAAATTCTTTTTATCAAACCCAATGACCTTTGCGCTTTAGCAACTGCTAAATTTACTTGCTTGTGCCATTTTAGATCAGATGATATCAATACACCAAAGTCTTTTTCTAATTTCTTTTCTTTTGTTTCCATCTGTGTTTTATTTCCATGTTTACATCTGTGTTGTTAATGGTATACTTGAGTGGCATTTTTTTATTACAGATGCGCATGACTTTACATTTTTCTTTACTAAGTTTCATTCCCCAAGTATTACACCAGTCGATTACTCTATTAATGTCATTTTGAAGTAGATTAAGTGCTTATGTGGAACTTTATCAAAAGCTTTTTTAAAATCCATGAATAATAAGTCAACCCCCTTACCATTGTGAGTAGCACTTGTAATGATGTCCAAAGATTCTAGCAAATTTGTGGCACAAGATTTTTGTTTAACAAACCCATGCTGTTACTTAGAAATCAAATCATATTTTTTCAGACAATTCAATATAATTTTGTGAATTATACTTTTTAAAAGTTTACAAAGAACTGATGTCAGAGATACAGGTCTATAATATGAAGCGATATTTGTGTTGCCTTTTTTTAAATATTGGTGTTATGTTAACATTTTTCCACATAGTAGTTAGCGAAGATAAGTTTGATGATTTTTTTAATAAAAGAGAAATTGGAAGAGCTAATGATTCCGTACAATTTTTTAGTACATATGGACTAACTCCTTCTGCTCCTAATGATTTATTTTCATTAAAATTGTGTAATTCTCTGATAATTAATGTTTGATTAATTGCATCATTCCAATTCCAGTTAAACGATGCATTAACTTTACTATCAAAATAAGGCAACTCATTATCATCTTCTTTCACAAAAACTGAATGGAAATATTTATTAAATAAATTTGCAATGTCTTTTTTATCAGTAACTATGTTATTGTTGTCTCTTATTGATTGTATTTTTGGTAATATTATTTTTTTAATTATAGCATATGAATAAAATAACTTTGATTTTATATGATAGTTGCATTTCATATTCAATAGTAAATTTTTTTATAGATAGAGGTATTATACTACTAATCATTTTATATTCATTTAGTAAATGACAATTTTTAAAATTTGTTGCTCTTAATCTATGCCATAGATTACGCTTTAACTTGATCATCGATTACGCTTTAACTTGATCATTTTTTTAATAAATTTAGGAATGTTAGGAAAGAGTGAGAAGTTTTTTAGAACCGAAGGTTTCTTAGGTATAGAATTAGTGCATAAATTATCATACTTTATTAAGAAACTTTTGTAGCATTTGCCCATAGTACTGTTATCTGAAATAAAACTCCAATCATATTAGAAAAGGCTAGGTTTAATTTTTCATAATCACCATTAGCATATTTGAATTTTTTTCAATTATTTCTTAAATCTTACTGATTTGTTATTAAAATATCCATCTTCCATTTTAATATATAGTGCGCTTGTTTTATTTCGCCCGATTGTGGGTGTATTATCAAGTCACACAAGTTTCACAATTGTCATAATTAAATTCAGTGTATTTGTTGGTTTAAAGACATCAGTTTGGAATGTTGGTTCATATACAAACTGTTGAATGTAATTTCCGATTAAGTTGTCTATAAAAATAGCACTCTGTTCACAGTTCGATTTAAGTATTGTTGATCCATTATCATTCCATTGAGTCTGTGAATAATTAAAATTCTTTATGATAATAAGTTTTGAATACTTGTTGCAGTTGATATCAAATTTTGCACTACTTATTATATGGTTAATTGTACGATTGGTTTTAGATGAACTATTGGGTGGTCTGTAAATACACCCTATCAAAATATTTTTAGCTCAGATATTTAGTGAGCACCAGACTTATTCAATGGAATTAGTTGCATATAATCTATGATTTAGACAAGAAGTTATTAATTTATCTTCGAAGTATATTGCATTGCCACTGCCCTCTTTATTTTTCCTGTTTACATTGTAACATTTATAACCATCAACACTAATATTAGAACTTCCATTAAACCAAGTTTCACATATTAATATAACATCTGGTACATCACAAAGAATTTTGCTTTTCAATGAATTCATTTTATTATTTAAAGATGTTGGATTGGTATACCAGAATGGTATACCAATCATGGTATACCATTCTGGTATACGAACATGGGTTTGTTAAATAAAAATTATGTGCCACAAACTTGCTAGAATCTTTGGACATCATTACAAGTGCTGCTCACGATGGTAAGGGGGTTGGCTTATTATTCATATATTTTGAAAAAGCTTTCGACAAAGTTCCACATAAACAATTAATTAAAAAATTATGAGCCTATGGCATTAAAGGGAAGTTGCTAGCTTGGATCAAAAATTTTATAATCAGTAGAACACAAAGAGTAATCATGGGTGAAAACATATCTAACTGGTATGATGTATTTAGTGGAATGCCGCAAGGTTCTGTACTGGTTCCATTTCTTTTTAATATATATATAAACGATTTGCCTGACCGGTTAAATTCTTAATGCAAATTATATGCTGATGGCAGCAAACTAATTTCAATTATTAACAATGATGAAAGCGATTCAAAAGCACTAAATCTACTTCAAACTGACTTTAATATAGTAATTGACTGGTGTAATACTTGGGGAATAAAACTCAATAAAGAAAAATATTAAGTCATGCACATCTGTAATAAAAAAATATCACTCAAGTATATCATTAACAACATAGATGGAAACCACGAAATAAAAGAAACGAAATCAGAAAAAGACTTTTGTAGTAGTTTTTCACACATTTTTGTTTTTTTTTAGGTCAAACAAATTATTGTTATTTAAACAAGATTTGTACTAAGGCTTTTTAAGGAAAAACATTAAAACATTTTTCAAACAAACATTTTTTACATATTTAAAATAAAACTTAGTATTCAAGACAATCTATAGTAAAAACCTCAGTGACAATTTAGAATTACTTTGTTAAGAATATCTGAGTGACTTTTTAAAAATGCATTAGAGAAATAATAAAGATTTTCATTACCATTCAGTTTTTAGATGAAATTCATTCAGATTTTATATTGGTCAAAATGAATTAACTGATTCGGCAAGTGATTATTGGCCTTAAGAAAAATGCTTCATATATACTAATATCAAGACTAAATGAGAAAGAGTTACTTAAACAAAAAGTAAAGGTATCAGCTTTTAGAATCAGAGAAAGTAAATCTCTGCAGTAATTTAAAAGTGACGGTATATTTACTGAAGAAGTTACAGCTTTTAATTTGCATTCCAAATAAATGGCAAATATTTATTGATAGTGTAAAAAGACCTTAAAGAGACCTTAAAGACCTTATTTGAAATCAAAATGAGAAATGCTCAGGGCTGCTGAGCATTTCTCATTTTGATTTCAAATAAGGATAAAAACTCTTTTTGAAAGATAACATCTTGTATGAGAGTATATTATATATTATTTTAAAACATCAAGAAAACAATATTAAAATTTTTATTAGTTTCTCTCAATACTAATAATTTTGTTAAGACATTTTCTTGGGGTTATGGATACCAGCATCATCAGCTTGCATACTAGCATCATCATCAATTTATTATGTTATAATTATATTATTCTATACGTGTTTGTTCAAATAACAAAATATATTCCTGGTAACATAGTCAAATAAATATAAAAACCTGGGGGTTTAAAATCAATAAATTAGCAATAAAAATTTTTATAACTAGAAAAAATGCCAACTTTTATAATTTTTTTCTTATTTTTTACATAATTTTTTATAAAAAAGGAAATCCAATCTTCTATCATTTATTATAGATCTTAAATAATTTTTGATAAAGGTTCTTTCATTTACATAATAATAACTCATTTTGGTACAGTCCCAATCAAGCATCGTTTAATCCCTTGTAAAAAATGTGAAGAAGGCATTGATGCAATACAGAAAAAATTGAATCATCTGTGTTTCAAAGAAATTGTTACCTTTAACTAAAGAACTTCACATTCAGCATTATTCATTTTTCCATAAGAAAAAACTTGCTACTCTTGCTGCACATAGAACTTTAAAAAGAAGTTTGTAAAATTATTTACAACTTATGGAGACCATTTCAAATATCTGTTTCAAAACTAATGGAAAGACAAAATAAAAAAAAGCTATTGGATAGTTCAAGGCAAAGGAACTAGTTTCATTATGATATACCAAATTAATATTTTTGCAATGTCATATGATCAGCTTTGTTGAAATTCTTGATGCTGGTAATAATAAGTCAAGTAAACGCTTTCAACAAAATGAATGAATGAACTAGAAAATCAGTGTTATCAGTGTAGGTGTAGAAAATCAGTGTTATCAGTGTAGGTGGAATGTACATATAAAGGATGACTATTGTAAAAGCATCAAAGATGGTAGCTCTTAAGTTAACCACTCTAGGAAAAGCGATAAATGTTTAGTAACTATATTCATATATAAAAACATAATGGTTACATAAAACTGTAAAATAAATTAATCAACTTAACTTAATAGACTTAAAATCTCAATGTCAAGTTAAAATCTATGATTCCAAGTTAATAGCATTTCTTATAATCAGGGCTGTGGAAATTCTTTGTTTTCTGAAAATAGTTATTTTTTAAAAAATATTTTTCTAAACTTTCTTTATCAATGAGTACATAATTGACCAGGGCCCTGGCCCCGGCCCCAGCAAAAAAAAAAGGACTTTTTGCAAACCTGGCTCTGGCAAAATTATAGTATTTAGCAGGGGTTGATAGCCAGGGCTAGAAAAAAATTTATAAGACTTTGTATATTACAATCTTATACTTACATTTAATATTTATTAATATATTTATATTTTTTTAAACTCACTATAAAACATGAGTTACTTTAAAATAGAAGATAAATTAAAAAGCTAGGAAATGGTTAACTGAAGACATAAAAAATCGTAGGTTGTACAAAATAGAAAAGATGAAGATGGGTAAGAGTTGTAAGGTTTTTTTGATGTGCACCAAAAAAACTGGATTCATAAAAGTTTTTATAGCATGAAGGGACAGATATAGTAAAAGGATGCAACTTGTTGAATATGAAGCCAAGCAAAAATGAGTTTTGGTCTATCGCAATAGAGCTGATGGCCTGTTTGATGACCGTGATAAGAAAAACAGCATAAAAAAGGAAGACTAAAGCCTGATGATGATAATGATGATGATTATGATGATGATGATGATGATGATGATGATGATGATGATGATGATGATGATGATGATGATGATGGTGATGATGATGATGATGATTATGATGATGATGATGATGACAATGACGATGATGATAATGATGATGATGATTATGGTTATGATCATGATCATGATGATGATAGTAATGATGATTATGATGAACATGTTGATCATAATAATGTTTTTATATACAAAACAAAACATGAACTATGAATTAAAAAAATATACTTTAGGATGTATAAATGGTTATGCAGCCCTGATCACAAACCTGGCCCCGCCCCTGGCTATATTTTAGATGATTCATGTAAAAATAAATAAATTGTTTGCCATTTTTATCCAACATTTTCAGGGCCTCAACATTGTGTACTCTATCTTATTTCATAGATCCCTCTCAAGTAATACATATAAATTCAACATCTCTGTATGCTGATTTATACTCTCTTGTTAAAGAAACTTCTAGAAATAACTACTTTTATTTAGCAAATATGTTTTTAACTATTTTGAAATTTTCATTCAAAAATATTTTATAATAAAAGAATTATTTCTATTATAAAAGAATTTTTTTTTTTTCAATTCAAGTTCACCTTTTTTAATTCAAGTCCCTTTTTTTTTTTTAATTTAAGTTCACCTCCCCAAAGCTCCAGAGGGGATAAAGCAGTTGATGAGGCTACTCATTTTTTTAATATAAATTTACTTGAAACTCTCAAACCCTAAGCTACAAAACCTTGTTAAACCCTTAAACCTGGAATACAGACTTTAAGTAAAAGTGGCCAGGTTATGATTTGATGATGATCTTATAATCAACAAATTGTACTTTGCCACAACCCTCCATCTCATGCAAATATACTGGAGCAAAAAAAAATCCACTTTAACTTTTTTTTAAACTATGTTCTGCTGGGTACAGTTCTAGAAATAAACAAGTTGGTGCACAGAGAAACAGGACGATTTTATAAAAAAAAATCTCATACATACCCATTAGGTGCAGTTGTAAAAGTAACATAATCTAATTCATAAGTCCATGGTACCCAAACTGGAGGATTGTTGACACATGAGTAATTTTTCATGTGAGCGTTTAACATGTTAATAGATTGTATGATGACATTACTATAGTCTGAAGTAAAAACAAAATTAAAAATAAAAACTAACCAATAAAATTAGTATTTAATATAAATGAAAATATATGTAAATATATAAATAAGAAAAAAAAATCAAATATAAATAAGTATACAAAACAAGTAATATTGACAATAAAACTTTAAAACTTTTTTTAAAAAAATTTATTATTGAAGGTATTTTCAAACAATATAAACTTATTTTTTAACAACAATTTTTGTTGGTTTCAAGCTATAGCTGATTAAAATACATAAATACATATTTAAAAAAATTACTTAAAAATCAATTTACACTGTAAGTTCATGTTATTTTTTAGTGGCTTTAATGTTTGTATATACCATATATCTATAGTATGATACACTGTATATCATAACTTATGATCTATGGTATATCATAAAAAAAAAAATTTTATGATATACCTAGATATATATATATCTTATTAAGATATATAGGTATCTAGGTAAAAAGTTGTATTTTTGTAATTCTAATTATTTTATAAAAAAACTTATTAACCTTGGCCCTTTGACATGTCTAAAACATAAGGGACTCTTGGTTGTCCATCGGTATTTTTCCATAATGGTGGTAACTCACGTTTTTTTCCTAAATTGTAATCAATCCAAATTGAATATCAGTTTATTAAATTAGTTATCAAATTAAACATTTAATATTATTTAACATATTTTATATTAGGCAATTTTAATCCATACAATATAAAACTCATTATATAAACTTTTTATTTTGTTTTTACCAGTTGATGTAGCAACACTCTTTGCTTGTTGTACCTTTTAGATGATATATGTACATTTCTTGTGTGTTTTTTAGTCATTTCTAGAATGTTTTTTATATATAAAACATTCAAGAATATTTTATATAGATACAATAGAATACAATAGTACTCTAAATTTATAGATAAATTTATAAATAAACTCAATTATATAAATCAAAAAATCAAAAAATTTATATCAAAAAATCTTTAATCAGAATTAGCATGATTTTTGAAACATAGCAGAAGACTCAGTATTGATAGCCGATGGTCAGATAGAACACAAAATAAGATTTCCTTTCTAGGGTAGATTTTGAGTTAAACATTCCCCATATACAATAAATGAATGAAGAGTTGCCTGATTTTTGAAAAAAACAAGATAAATGAACTTATATAACACATTCTTTTGTCTTCAGGTTGTCTATAAGCTGCATTAAAAAGTATGTGTTACTGACATAATGATGATTTGTAAGTTTATAAGTTGTTTGTTAACTTTTCTAGAAACTAGTCAGGGCTTTTAACTATTGTTTCTAAGGAGCACCTACCAGTTTTCAACCATTGTTTATAATTTATTTCATAGGCTGAATCCTCTACCAGGTTATTTAACTCTTTTTTAATATGTTTGTTTCAATTTATTTACACACCTAATACTCATAAACCATACATTATACATAATACTCATAAACCATATAATCTTCATTTTCTAATAAATTGTATATATTTTATTTTGATGATTTTGATTTAAAAAATTTTGATGGTGAATACAAACTCAGACTGTGCATGTGCAGAAAGTATACAATATTCAATATTGTATACTTACCACAATATTATATTGTGGTATTGAGAGAGTAAATGATTTTAATCCTACCTTAGCTATATCATTAGATTGCATAATATGAGTTGATTTTTAAATGAGCTATCTAACTACCTCTATGTATATATTATCCTTTGCTATTGGTAAACTTTGTAAAATGTGGCATATAAAAATGACTTTTATTATAGAATATCATATCCTTTATGTGTAACAATTGTGTGCGACGTAAAATTTTTTGTAAATTATTGCATATATGTCAACTTGTATATTAGAAAATCATATCCCCTATGTATAAGAATCTCATTCGACATAAAACTTGGTATAAAGCATATAAAATTAATTTGTTACTTAGAATATCATATACCCCATGTATAACAATCGTATCCTGCATAAAATCTAATAAAATTAGAATATGAAGTTAACCTGTTACTTAGAATATCATATTATGCTTAAATCATTGGCAGTGCTTCAGTTGCTTCCATTGCTTCAGTTGATTTCAATAGAAAATTTTATGCTGATTAAGAATCGTATAAAAACAGAAATCAGGAAAAGCATGTTAAATTCACATTGTTTATTAATTTATTTCGGACGGCTTAGGTACACTTCTAAAGGGTATAACTTTAAATCACGCCTGCGTTTTTTAATTTTCTAGAATAGGGTGTATCGAAAAACAGCCAAATTATTTTGTATCTTTTTTATGTCTTCAGTTCGCCTTAGGGTTTTATTTTTCGTAGAAAAACACTTTTTCTGATCCTTTTTACAAAATGAAAATAAAAAATTCTATGCATATACTAGAGTTTTAATAGAGTTTAAACATTAAACAATGACTAAGTTAGAAATGGTTACAATTTTTAAGAAAATATTTTAATGTCTTCAGTTGACGCTAGTGTGCTGAGTTTTGACGAAAAAACACTGTTTTTTATTTAAAACAATTTTAATTATATTGTTAATGCTTCCACTTGTCGTCACCTGTCTTCACTGTTACAACAATGGAACAAAAGTAATTAAAATGTAATAAACTAAATAATGCCAATGGTTACAGCGGTGATTTTAAAATGACATTAGTATGTATGTAAAATCTCACTAATTACGTTATTTATTACCATCACCATCAGCATTATTAGAAAATTAGCTAAAACCACAGGTTATAATTTATTAGTTCTGATTTACATCTGTTTATTAATAAAATAAATTGAAATCAAAGAAAATTTTAACTGCAAAAATGTCTTCCGCTGCAGTGACAACAAGAAAAAAGTCTACTTTTCCTATCTTTGGTTCACCAGCAGACTTACGAGCAAATGTCTTGCCAACATACAAACATGTCATGCTAAGTTAGTTTTTGTCAATGCAGAAAATGAGAGTGGAAACTGGTGGAAACTTTCTTTGAAAGAAAATTTGGCGCACAAAATAGAAAATTTGCGGGGAAAAGCATCGGTACCTACTGTGTCTCATAAACGCATTGTAAAAATGTGTCTTGATTACAATCAAAAGTATAGAAATATTATGAAGTCTGTTAACAAAACGAAACATACAGACAAATTGAAGTCGAAAATAATAAAAAATAAAAATAAAAAAGCATGCAGAAAATACTTTATTTGACGTTGCAGCATGCAAATGCCTTGATTTTTCTAAATGCATCTGTGAAAAAGCAAAGAAGGTACCAGAGAAAGAACATGAGTTTCTTAGCGATCAGAGATTTATGGGGATTATGTATATGGAAGGACTCGATATTCAAGCTACTTTAAGATTACGGTGAAAAGAAGCAAGAAAAAACAGAGTAAGTAGCCCCTTGCCGTCTAACCCATCAAAACAGCCTTGTGCTATTACAGATATTGAAGCTCAATCAACATTATCAAGCCGCATTCGTAATTCAAGTTTCTATTTTATATCTCAAGATTCTGACTCTGATGACACTGTGATTTGGAATAGTTTAGTTTATTAGTTAGTTTATTAGTTTACTGACTCAGAATCAGATGCTGATTATTTAGACACAGCTGAAGGCCACAGGCAAAAAAGAAACAGAAAAGATAAAACTGAACAAATGAGATCACCGTTACTATCCTTAGCACAAGCCTGCGATAGAGTTGGTGTTTCTAGCAGAGGTGCTGCATTTATAGCATGTGCTGCGCTGGAAGACATAAACATAATTTCAAAAGGAGACCAATCTAAAGTAATTGATAAAAATAAGATTCAAAGAGAACGAAAGAAAAGCAGACTTAAAATGCAACATTTAGATCATGAAAATATTCAAATGTTAGAAGCTTTATATTTTGATGGAAGAAAAGATACAACATTTGTTATTGATACAAACAAGGGAAAAAATATACGAAAAACTATCAAAGAAGAACATGTAGTTTTAGTACATGTTTACAGCAGCCGTGGCGCAGTGGTAGCGCACTTGCCTCAGAAACATAAGATCCGTGGTTCAAACCCCACCTATGGGCAAGCTTTGCGACATCGGTTGGGAAGGAGGCGTGAACTTCCTATTAAATGCTCTTCCGCGGTGCTCTGTGATAAGACCGTAAGGACTTTTTGGGGCACCTTAATCAACTTAAAAAAGTACAAGAACCAGGGTCAAAGTATCTAGGGCATGTAGAGACTGCATCAGGATATGGATACAGCATTAAGACAAGTATAAAAACATTTTTAACTCAGAACAACATTGATACATCCAAATTAGTTGCCATGGGTTGTGACGGAACAGTTGTCAATACCGGATTTCGTAATGGTGTTATTGATTTGTTCGAATTAGAACTCAAAAGACCTGTCCACTGATTTATTTGTTAAATACATGCTAATGAACTGCCTCTACGGCATCAAATTCAAAACTTAGATGGACCTACATCAGGACCTAACGGGTGGTCTGGACCGATTGGAAGAGAAATTAAATTGTGTGATACCTTGCCAATTGTCAACTACATTCCTGTCAGTGTCACATTGCCAAAAATAGACAAAAAATCTCTTAGTTCTGATCAAAAATAGTTTCTTGATATTTGCAAAGCTATATCTACAGGTTATTGTCCAAACGTTTTGGCTAACCGAAATCCTGGAAAACTTAATCATGCCAGTTGGGTGACCACTGCATACAGAATATTGAGGTATTATGTTGGATGTAGCGAACCGTCACACAAGCTGAGAGAAATAATTGAGTTTGTTATTAGAGTTTACTGCCAAATGTGGTTCAATATAAGATATGATCCCTCATGCACGAAAGGTGCTAGACATTTATGGCTAACCATCAGTTTATCCAGGTATGCCAGTAATGAAATAAAAAGTATCATCAATCCAGTTATACAAAGGAATGCTTTTTTTGCACATCCAGAAAATATACTTCTGGCTATGATATTGGATACTCGTCCAAATGTGAGAAAATTTGCATTAAAACAAATAATGAAAACAAGATCAATCAAAACAAACAAAGTTCGAAAGTTCTCTATACCAGAAATCAATTTTGAAGCAACAGACTATATAGATCTTATTGATTGGATTAAATGTGAACTAAGTGAACCTCCGATTACCACTCACATTTCAGATGAAAATCTAATTGAAATGTTAACAAATGGTAATCTTCCAAATGTGCAGCATTTTCCATGCCATACTTAAGGAGTAGAGAAATGCATCACACTTGTAACCGAAGCTTCAGATCAAGTTTGCGGTTTGGCTAGTAAAGACTTGCATCGCGAAAAAAAATGCCTATATTCAACACAAAAAGACAGTTTGAGACAGAGACAAATGAGTCAGATAGTTAAACTTTATTACAGCTCAACTTTAACCATTTTTCAAAAACATTTTCCACTCTATTAAAACTTTAATTGTACATTATGGACTGCTAAGCTTGTTTTCCAGAAACTAATGAAACAGTGTTTTTTTGTCAAAACTCTAGCGTCAACTGAAGACATTAAAATATTTTCTTAAAAATTGCAACCATTTTTAACTTAGTCATTGTTTAATGTTTAAACTCTATTACAACTCTAGTATATACATGGTATATTTTTATTTTGTAAAACTCTAGTATATACATAG